ATTTATAAGACCTTAAACTTTTTAAATTGATAAAATTTAATAAACCAAGTCATTCGCACAGTCCAAATTGAGCCCCACATTCAATCTTTTTATGTTGTGAAATTTTAATTCATTTTGGATGGAAAACTGACTTATATAAATTTGCTTAACAATCAGCTTATGAATTGCCCACTCGGGATAAAGACTAGTGATCACAAAGATAACACAAAGTTGCATTGAAAGATAGAACTTTGATATTTTAACGCTGTTATCTTGATTAGGTGTTGTTATATGATGTATTTTAAGGGCTTTTCGATTGCCATAAGCCCATAACGAATAGCAATGTAACATAAGAAACATCAAAACTAGACGACTGACCACATTATGAAATAGAACTGCCAGGCTGAGACATCATTAGTCATTTATCAAGAATTTAATGATACATCAAAACGCATGGATGGATTTAGGACAGGGCTGCAGAGAAGTATGCACCACCACCCCCAGTCTTAGATACACAAGATGGAAGTCAATTTCCCTGCAAAATACTAATATATCAAACAATTAATGAACACACTTAACAATCGGCCTCCCCACATACACTGACACACAGACACACACAAACCATCATCTCTGATCATTTCGGTGAAGACGGCAAGACATTTCCTTTAATCACAACAAGAAATATGTTCGTATAACAGGAGGATGCCAATGCACTAAGAAGATTAGTACAATCAACACGTGCACAAATCCAACCACTTTAGCGGGAAAAGGTCGAGAACTATTTTTACTTAACAAGAAGAAATCGTTGATTTTAATCTGAGCCAAAAATATTGACAGACAAAGAAGAAAAGAGAGCTTCAATCTGAAACTTTGATCCCATCGTTAACTAATGACTTTCAAAGTGAAAGATATGAAATTTTTGAAAGACGTAGCTGTTCAAAACAATAGCGACAGACTGACAGGTATTTCAGACAAAATGCACATCAGAACACCCACACACTTCCACGGTTATAGATTTATACATAATAAAGTCTCCCTTTAGAGAGCTTTTTGCTCTGTATATCATGTTATACACCATTATTATTTGAGCAAAACCAAAATACATTTTCAGAAAATACAAGCAGCATCAGAGTAACGTCCTCAAAACTAGTGGTTTGCTAATGTTTAAGTGGTTTGCCCGTGTTTAAGTGGTTTTCATGTTTTGCATTTTCGCTATTCGTCTATGTCAATGGGGTTCAAGAAAACTTACTCAAACAATCAAGAAACTTTGTAAGGAATTGAACTCAGTGTATCAATAATAGCTATTATATCACTCTAACGACACGTTTTTGCTTATCACAAATTCACCAATGAAACATTTGCGATGTAACTACATTCATCGTTCATAACTTTATGATTAATATATAAATTTTTTATTTGGGTATAGTATAGGTAATATTAGCATAGTTTTGAAGGGAAGATGAAAGAAAAAGAAACTATCATGATTTGTAGCGAGATTTAAACTGACTAAAATTTAAAGCCAACTTTTTGACTTTTCTTTTCATGAGAAAGATCAGGAGTGTAATACTTTTTTAACGATACATATCATTAATCAAATAAACCTTGAACTTAGAGACGTTACAGATTCGCCCAGTGCTTCGATAAAAAATTTGAAAGAAAAAATGAGTCTTGCTTGTCTTCTATAGCTTGTTAAAAAAATGACAACAAACTTACTTCATATATCGGCTGCTACTTGGTGGTTATATTGGAAAACAAATACTTCGGTATAAACAGAACTTCGTTCCATCGCTCAAAGAGTAAGTTGATCTGTTCAAAATAAAGAAAATGTGTACGCAGCTAACGTACAGTCGCAAGTGCACGGACACCTTAAATACAGAATCCTTTCAACACAGGCATATGAGCCAAAAGAAACAATAACGATGAACCATCAAAATGAAATTTGCATAGTTTTTATTCTACTTGCGTTATGATGAAAAGTTTGCTTACACAAAAAATTCTTGTGATGACACAAAGCACAAACTTTCATTGTGTGCTGAAACAGGAAATTTTTGCTATAGCATTTATTAGTACGTTATTCTTAACATTGAATGAATTTATGTTTTGAAATATGACAAATCAAGATACATAAAACAAAGACTTTGCTAAGAATTCTCAATAACATGAGACCACCTGGCTCCTGGTAAAGCCATAACTTTTTAATAACAACAAGACATTCTGTACACGAATAAAATTTATTTTGGTGAGTGAATCAGTTCACTGCAATATTAAAGAAAGTAGAATTCAATACATCGCGTGCAGGGATATTTCTTCTCACTTTCTACATCACAATATACAGCCAATTATCCATTTTCTTCTTTGTCAGTACTTCCTGTATACGTGAGAATTTTGTGTACATCATCATGATGCCCAGCCCAAGTTTTGAAGTATTCGGACGTAGCCGTTAAGCCACTTCGGAGGTCAACATCAACCCAGAAGAACATTTGTTTTGTCTGTTTCAAAACACCAGATACATACACGCGGTCTTAATTTACCATACCATATAAGACATTTTATTTTGCTATCTGTTGAGTATTTTTAAGAAGAGTTAAGAACGCATCACACGACGAACGCGAAAGTCGTTTTTTTTATAACATCCAAAACTTATTATAAGAAGGCCAGCAGACGACAAATAAGTTAGTCTTGGAGGTATATAATAATTATTATTTGTAATAGCAGGATTACGGCGTTTTACCAAACCCTGTGTTCGTTTGAGTTGATAGTACGATTAATAAAACATTTCGACATGTGGTTTATCGAATCCTTTTAAACCAAATTTTAGTCATCGATTCATGTAATTACCAGACTTTGTACAATTCAAATTACATTTTGTATAAGTAAATTATATTACTTTTTTAGACAGGTGGAACCCGGCGTACATTTCCTTACATAAAATCAATTTCTGAGGTCATGCTATGGTACCTGTACAATATGTTTATAGATACGTTGTTTTTATATGTTTGTTGAATGTATATCCAGTGCCAGTGCCAGTGGTCAAAGCTAGTGACAATTCTATCAAAATGTGTAACTCGACTAAAACAGATCAAATAAATTGCACAAGGAATTCCTCCGTTTTGCAAAATAATGGAAAAATAAGTATTATATAAAAAGTATTATAAGTCATGAGAATAAACTTTGTTGACTGCAAATAGAAATGCATTCAAAGAAATACATAAAGCATGCGAGAAAAACGTAAACGCATTTGCTCTTTTGTATTACTCAACAACGTTACATGCAGTGATTTTATCATGAAATTTGACATTTTGAGAATAAGCAAAACTATTATGTGCAGTTCATTTAATTAGCATTTTGTGGCTTCATGGTAAGCTGTAAAGATAAATATTGCTATCCATAATTATTTGGAAAAATCAAATAATCGTATGATAAAACATGCATAAAACGATTTCACCAATATCTCCGAATACAAACGAAAATGACTTGATATTGTAAATATTCTATGCATATTTACAATATCAAGTCATTTTCACTTGCCTGCTTTCTTCAAGAGTTCAAGAGTACCAAGAAAGAGACAATATCTGCATATCTCTCATGCATATCAAGAACTCATTTTTTTATATGTACCGAGATATGATATTTACATCAATATCTTCTCTATGTAATGAACTAGGCAACTACATGATATTCAACATTATTTGTTCCTCGTGAAATTGGAATTTTCATAGAAACAGCAAAGCTTGTGTTGGTTGCCTTGATAAGAACAAAACATAAAAATTACAACATTCTTCAAATTATGTTTACTTTATGTAATGTGGTGGCGTGAAAGAAAGCCCCTATATTTGGTCTAGCTATGTGAATATATCACTGTTCACACAAAGTGGAAACTTAAAAAATCTGTTCCTACAAAAATAAACAATGGCAATGTTCTCAAACTCATATATAAGACTAAAACTTAAAAAGTTTATGCAAAAGTCGATGATAGTAAAACGACATCATTTTAAGTTTGGTCATCATTTGCAACATAAACATAAGCATAAGAAGAATTGACAGTTGATAATCTTTTGCAGTTATGCTCATGTTTATACTTTTGCCGAAAGTGAGAACCAGGATTTGAGCGTTATAATTTAGTTCCTCGTCTAAAAAGAACAAATTTTTGTTTTTGAAAATATTGCAACATATAATAAACATATATTTATGTATTTAATAAGAAACCGAAGAAAAGTTTCTCACTTCCTCAAGAAATATTAATAACAACAATGGTGGTCTCTACAGTTGGTGTCCTTACAAATGGTCTTATTATTGTTGTTATTGTGAAGGATCCTTTAAACAAACTAAGACGAGGACCGTGGATTACTATCTTAAGCTTATCTATAGCTGATTTCACTGCATCTTTGTCTCAATTCATGATTGTTGGATTGGGTAGATTGTTCGAGGTCAAACCATCAGAAGCTGTCATTTATTCTGTCCTTTTCTTTTGGATGTTTGGGGCTGCGGGCTCATTTTTTCACTTGACATCACTCACATGGCAAACTTACATGATTGCGAAGTATCCCAAATACAGACAACAAATGTTATCTACGAAGAAAATTTACATATTATGTGCCACACTTTGGTTGATTGCCATTTGTATTGCAAAGTCGACAAGACACAAAAAAATTGGGGCCAATTATCGTTTCCACCCGTTTACAGGAAATGAATTTCTAAAATCACTCACGTATGTGGGATGTACATGTGAATCATAGATATAATAGTACTATATCAATGATGTGAATCCACCACATGCATATGGACGTCACGAGGCCAATTTAAAAAAAAGCGGATTCAAAAATATCGAGATACGTGTTGACGTGTCATAAACATTATACCGACTGTATGAATACAAGTGATCAAATTGTATTAAACCATTCAGTCAATGCCAGTCATCCCAGAGACAAGAAATTAGAAGTTAGAACAGTTGATTAAACTGTCTGAGATCTCACTATGGTACTCTCACGATATTTCCAAAACGTTCATCCTTCCTTTATTTACGGATTCCTTATTCTTACAAGTTTGATCTCAGGATATCCAGTGACCAATACTGGTGATTTTTTGGAAACGCGCAATTCGACTCAACCAAATCATATAAATAACTCAAGGAATTCATCTGGTTTACGTAATCAAAGTGCTGTAAGTATATAATCTACTGCAGTTATTTTTTTCTACGGATCTTATCAATATCTCACAGTACAAACGTTAAACATGTATAGATACAATTAAGAACTAGGAGATGTTCAAACTTTAAAATGTGTACGTTGGCGACAATGTGGTAGGCATGAAAAATTCTCAAGTTGCTTATACAAACCAGACTTCTAAAAAATGCTGAAAATCCAGTTTCAAATATCAATCTTTTCACAAAACGTTGAATGTTTGAAATCGCTCTCAATATTTATACGATTTTGAATAAAAATTAAGAGGCGCGTGTCCAGATAAATAGTTTTCTATTTAACGATACCATCAAAAATATAAAATTCAAACATAGCGTCATCAAAGTGCTTCTTCCAGGAAAAGATCTATCCACAATTGTAGATTTTTGAATGTGTCATGTAAATCAATTTCTCCAGTTGCTTCTAAATAGTCAGGACCTAACTTTCCTGACCTAAACGCATTACGTGTAATGAAGTGCGCAGTTCAGTAGAGTGCCTTCACAGTAATGAGCGAAGAAATTTCATCAAGCAACTAGTTCATGATTCTCAGTGTACGACTGTAAAAATTACCATTTATCTATGTGCAATTATGAATGTATATGAAAACATTTGATGTCTTTTCCTCTTTCTATATTTCATATGAAACGCATGAAGAGTTTTTCACTTGGCCAAGAAACATTAATAACAACAATCGTGATCTCCACAGTTGGTGTCCTAACAAATGGTCTTCTTATTGTTGTTATTGTGAAGGATCCTTTAAACAAGCTAAGACGAGGACCGTGGATTACCATCTTAAGCTTATCTATAGCTGACATCACTGCATCTTTGTCCCAATTCATGATTATTGGATTGGGTAGATTGTTTGAGGTCAAACCATCACAAGCTGTCATTTATTCTGTCCTTTTCTTTTGGATGTTTGGGGCTGCGGGCTCATTTTTTCACTTGACATCACTCACATGGCAAACTTACATGATTGCAAAGTATCCCAATTACAAACAACAAATGTTATCTACGAAGAAAATTTACATATTATGCGCCACAGTTTGGTTGATTGCCATTTGCATGGCATTTGCTGAACTCACACCCATTTACAGCAAGAAAAATGAACAGCTTATGTACACCTATTTCACATTATATGCTGTCTTGGAAATCGCTGTTTTACTTCATATCATATTGAGGTGTTTCATACTTAAAGTTGTATTGCAAAGTCGACAAGACACTAAAGTAAATGCTAAACAGTACAACACTAAACACTTTGAAATTGTAAAGACAATCATTGTGCTGAATGTCTTATTACTGGTAACTGCATTTCCTTACTTTGTCGCCAAACAAGTAGAGTTTATTCAAAGGCTTGGAAAAATACAAAGTGAATTGGCTTGGCGCTTTTCTTACTACTACGAACCAGTTGCCATGGTGAATTTCGCTGTCAATCCAATTGTGTATGCACTGAGGCTTCCAGATTATCGAAACAGTATTAAGGCGTTGTTTAAAAAGACTAGAACTGTTTCCATTCAAAAACCAGGGCATTTAATCTTTTCACTTCGTACTAGTAAAGCTGTATGATAGATAATATGTTCTAAACTCAATTTGATTAAAAATGTACGAATAGTGCTAATAGTTTTTATTGGAAGAATAAATCCCAAAGTGACAAACAACTGTGTGGTCAAAAAATTATAACGATTATTACTACAATACTCATCACTTTTTTGATTCTACGTAACTTCAAAAGCGAGAGCAATAATTGTGAATACTTTAATGAGACCATAAATTAAGTAAAGCACGTACGTATCAGGTACCTGGAAATATAGCAGCTTTGCTGAGATGAAAACCTTGAAAAAAAGAAGAAAGATTTGTTATTTTCATCTTGGTATATTTGAAATGCCAGCGAAAAGTACGTATAGGAATTTGTGGGAGGGAGTAAGGCCAATATAAGACTCTTGAGAGCTGAAATTAAATGTTTCTTGTACAATGCTACACACCTTCTTCTGGAGAATATTTGCAAATTATCATTTCCACCCGTTTGGAAATGAATTTTAAAATCACTCACATGATGTATCATAGATATATCTATGATGTGAATCCACCACATGCATGTGGACGTCCCGAGGCCAATTTAAAAAAAGCGGATTCAAAAATATCGAGATACGTGTTGACGTGTCATAAACATTATACCGACTGTATGAATACAAGTGATCAATTTGTATTAAACCATTCAGTCAATGCCAGTCATCCCAAAGACAAGAAATTAGAACAGTTGATTAAACTGTCTGAGATCTCACTATGGTACTCTCACGATATTTCCAAAACGTGCATCCTTCCTTTATTTACGGATTTCTTATTCTTACAAGTTTGATCTCAGTATATCCAAAGATCAATACTGGTGATTTTTTGGACACGCGCAATTCGACTCAACCAAATCATATAAGTAACTCAAGGAATTCATCTGGTTTACGCAATCAAAGTGCTGTAAGTATATAATATCTACTGCAGTTATTTTTTTCTACGGATCTTATCACTATCTCGTAGTACAAACGTTAAACATGTATATATACAATTAAGAACTAGGAGATGTTCAAACTTTAAAATGCGTATGTTGGCGACAATGTGGTAGGCATAAAAGAATTCTCAAGTTGCTTATACAAACCAGACTTCTAAAAAATGCTGAAAATCCAGTTTCAAATATCAATCTTTTCACAAAACGTTGAATGTTTGAAATCGCTCTCACTATTTATACGATTTTGAATAAAAATTAAGAGGCGCGTGTCCAGATAAATAGTTTTCTATTTAACGATACCATCAAAAATATAAAATTCAAACGTAGCGTCATCAAAGTGCTTTTTCCAGGAAAAGATTTATCCACAATTGTAGATTTTTGAATATGTCATGTAAATCAATTTCTCTAGTTGCTTCTAAATAGTCAGGACCTAACTTTCCTGACCTAAACGCATTACGTGTAATGAAGTGCGCAGTTCAGTAGAGTGCCTTCACAGTAATGATCGAAGAAAATTCATCAAGCAACTAGTTCATGATTCTCAGTGTACGATTTTAAAACTTGCCATTTGTCTTTGGGCAATTATGAACGTATATGAAAACATTTGGCTTCCAGTTTATCGAAACAGTATGAAGGCGTTGTTTAAAAAGACTAGAACTGTTTCCATTCAAAAACCAGGGCATTCAATCTTTTCACTTCGTACTAGTGCTAGTAAAACTGTACGATAGATAATATGTTCTAAACTCAATTTGATTAAAAATGTACGAATAGTGCTAATAGTTTTTATTGGAAGAATAAATTCCAAAGTGACAAACAACTGTGTGGTCAAAAAAATTATAACGATTATTACTACAATACTTATCACTTTTTTGATTCAACGTAACTTCAAATGCGAGATCAATAATTGTGAATACTTTAATGAGACCATTTGCGATTAAGAAACATTTGCGATTTAACTACATTCATCGTTCATAACTTTATGATTAATATATAAATTTTTTATTTGGGTATAGTATAGGTAATATTAGCATAGTTTTAAAGGGAAGGTGAAAGAAAAAGAAACTCATGATTTGTAGCGAGATTTAAACTGACTAAAATTTACAGCCAACTTTTTGATTTTTCTTTTCATGAGAACGATCAGGAGTGTAATACTTTTTTAACGGTACATATCATTAATCAAATAAACCTTGAACTTAGAGACGTTGCAGATTTGCTTAATGCTTCGATAAAAAATTTGAAAGAAAAATGAGTCTTGCTTGTTTGTTAAGTTTTCTATAGCTTGTTGAAAAAATGACAACAAACTTCTTTCATATATCGGCTGCTACTTGGAGAATGTATTGGAAAACAAAACTTCGGTATAAACAGAACTTCGTTCCATCGATCAAAGAGTAAGTTGATCTGTTCAAAATAAAGAAAATGTGTACGCAGCTAACGTACAGTCTCAAGTGCACAGACAGCTTAAATACAGAATCCTTTCAACACAGGCATATGAGCCAAAAGAAACAATAGCGATGTACCATCAAAATGAAATTTGCATAGTTTTTATTCTACTTGCGTTATGATGAAAAGTTTGCTTCCACAAAAAATTCTTGTGATGACCCAAAGCACAAACTTTCATTGTGTGCTGAAACAGGAAATTTTGCTATAGCATTTATTAGTACGTTATTCTTAACATTGAACAAATTTATGTTTTGAAATATGACAAATTAAGATACCTACAACAAAGACTTTGCTAAGAATTCTCAATAACATGAGACCACCCTGGGCCCTGGTAAAGCCATAACTTTTTAATAACAACAAGACATTCTGTACACGAATAAAATTTATTTTGGTGAGTGAATCAGTTCACTGCAATATTAAAGTAAGTAGAATTCAATACATCGCGTGCAGGGATATTTCGTCTCAGTTTCTACATCACAATATACAGCCAATTATCCATTTTCTTCTTTGTCAGTACTTCCTGTATACGTGAGAATTTTGTGTACATCATCATGATGCCCAGCCCAAGTTTTGAAGTAGTCGGACGTAGCCGTTAAGCCACTTCGGAGGTCAACATCAACCCAGAAGAACATTTGTTTTGTCTGTTTCAAAACACCAGATACATACACGCGGTCTTAATTTACCATATAAGACATTTTATTTTGCTATCAGTTGAGTATATTTAAGAAGAAGAGTTAAGAACGCATCACACGACGAACGCGAAAGTCGTTTTTTTTATAACATGCAAAACTTATTATAAGAAGGCCAGCAGACGACAAAGAAGTTAGTCTTGGAGGTATATAATAATTATTATTTGTAATAGCAGGATTACGGCGTTTACCAAACCTTGTCGTTCGTTTGAGCTGATGGTACGATTAATAAAACATATCGACATGTGGTTTATCGAATCCTTTTAAACCAAATTTTAGTCATCGATTCATGTAATTACCAGACTTTGTACAATTCAAATTACATTTTGTATAAGTAAATTATATTACTTTTTTAGACAGGTGGAACCCGGCGTACAATTCCTTAAATAAAATCAATTTCTGAGGTCACGCTATGGTACCTGTACAATATGTTTATAGATACGTTGTTTTTATATGTTTGTTGAATGTATATCCAGTGCCAGTGCCAGTGGTCAAAGCTAGTGACAATTCTATCAAAATGTGTAATTCGACTAAAACAGATCAAATAAATTGCACAAGGAATTCCTCCGTTTCGCAAAATAATGGAAAAGTAAGTATTATATAAAAAGTATTATAAGTCATGAGAATAAACTTTGTTGACTGCAAAGAGAAATGCATTCAAAGAAATACATACAAGCATGCGAGAAAAACGTAAACGCGTTTGCTCTTTTGTATTACTCGACAACGTTACATGCAGTATTTTATCATGAAATTTGACATTTTGAGAATAAGCAAAATTATTATGTGCAGTTCATTTAATTAGCATTTTGTGGCTTCAAGGTAAGCTGTAAAGATAAACATTGTTATCCATAGTTATTTGGCAAAATCAAATAATCGTATGATAAAACATGCATAAAACGATTTCATCAATATCTCCGAATACGAACAAAAAATATCAAAAAGAAACGAGAAATTGTTTAGAATTATCATTATTTTATGCATATTTACAATATCAAGTCATTTTCACTTGCCTGCTTTCTTCAAGAGTTCAAGAGTACCAGGCAAAAGACAATATCTGCATATCTCTCCATATATATCAAGAACTCTTTTTATATGTACCGAGATATGATGTTTACATCAATATCTTCTCTGTGTAATGAACTAGGCAACTACATGATATTCAACATTGTTTGTTCCTCGTGAAATTGGAATTTTCATAGAAACAGCAAATCTTGTGTTGGTTGCCTTGATAAGAACAAAACATAAAAATTACAACATTCCTCAAATTATGTTTACTTTATGTGGTGGCGTAAAAGAAAGCCCGTATATTTGATCTTGCTATGCGAATATATCACTGTTCACACACAGTGGAAACTGAAAAATCAGTTCCTACAAAAATAAATAATGGCAATGTTCTCAAACTCATATATAAGACTAAAACTTAAAAGCTTATGCAAAAGTCGATGATAGTAAAACGACATCATTTTAAGTTTGGTCATCATTTGCAACATAAACATAAGCATAAGAAGAATTGACAGTTGATAATCTTTTGCAGTTATGCTCATGTTTATACTTTTGCCGAAAGTGAGAACCAGGATTTGAGCGTTATAATTTAGTTCCTCGTCTAAAAAGAACAAATTTTTGTTTTTAAAAATATTGCAACATATAATAAACATATATTTATGTATTTAATAAAAAACCGAAGAAAAGTTTCTCACTTCCTCAAGAAATATTAATAACAACAATGGTGATCTCCACAGTTGGTGTCCTAACAAATGGAATTCTTATTGTTGTTATTGTGAAGGATCCTTTAAACAAACTTAGACGAGGACCGTGGATTACCCTCTTAAGCTTATCTATAGCTGATTTCACTGCATCTTTGTCCCAATTCATGATTGTTGGATTGGGTAGATTGTTCGAGGTCAAACCATCAGAAGCTGTCATTTATTCTGTCCTTTTCTTTTGGATGTTTGGTGCTGCGGGCTCATTTTGTCACTTGACATCACTCACATGGCAAACTTACATGATTGCAAAGTATCCCAAATACAGACAACAAATGTTATCTACGAAGAAAATTTACATATTATGCGCCGCAGTTTGGTTGATTGCCATTTACATGGCATTTGCTGAACTCACATCAATTTACATAAAAAAATTTGACCAGCTTATGTATATCTATATCACGGTACATGCTGTCTTGGAAATCGTTGTTTTACTTCAGATCATATTGAAGTGTTTCATACTTAAGGTTGTATTGCAAAGTCGACAAGACACTAAAGTAAATGCTAAACAGTACAACACTAAACACTTTGAAATTATAAAGGCAATCATTATGCTGAATGTCTTATTACTGGTAACTGCATTTCCTTATTTTGTCGCCAAACAAGTGGAGTTTATTCAAAGGCTTGGAAAAATACAAAGTGAATTGGCTGGGCGTTTTTCTTACTACTACAAACCAGTTGCCATGGTGAATTTCGCTGTCAATCCAATTGTGTACGCACTGAGGCTTCCAGTTTATCGAAACAGTATGAAGGCGTTGTTTAAAAAGACTAGAATTGTTTCCATTCAAAAACCAGGGCATTTAATCTTTTCATTTCGTACTAGTGCTAGTAAACCTGTATGATAGATAATATGTTCTAAACTCAATTTGATTAAAAATGTACGAATAGTGCTAATAGTTTTTATTAAAAGAATAAATTCCAAAGTGACAAACAACTGTGTGGTCAAAAAAAATTATAACGATTATTACTACAATACTTATCACTTTTTTGATTCTACATAACTTCAAAAGCGAGAGCAATAATTGTGAATACTTTAATGAGACCATAAATTAAGTAAAGCACGTACATCAGGTACCTGGAAATATAGCAGCTTTGCTGAGATGAAAACCTTGAAAAAAAGAAGAAAGATTTGTTATTTTCATCTTGGTATATATGAAATGCCAGCGAAAAGTACGTATAGGAATTTGGGGGAGGGAGTAAGGCCAATATAAGCCTCTTGAGAGCTGAAATTAAATGTTTCTTTGCACTATAACAACAATGCTACACAAACTTCCCCCTTCTTCTGGACAATATTGCAACATAAAAGGTGGGGCCAATTATCGTTTCCACCCGTTTACAGGAAATGAATTTTTACAATCACTCACGTATGTGGGATGTACATGTGAATCCACCAGATGCATGTGGACGTCACGACGCCAATTTAAAAAAAAGCGGATTCAAAAATATCGAGATAGGTGTTGACGGGTCATGAACATTATACCGACTGTATGAATACAAGTGATCAAATTGCATTAAACCATTCAGTCAATGCCAGTCATCCCAGAGACAAGAAATTAGAAGTTAGAACAGTTGATTAAACTGTCTGAGATCTCACTATGGTACTCTCACGATATTTCCAGAACGTCTATCCTTCCTTTATTTACGGATTCCTTATTCTTACAAGTTTGATCTCAGTATATCCAGTGACCAATACTGGTGATTTTTTGGAAACGCACAATTCGACTCAACCAAATCATATAAATATCTCAAGGAATTCATCTGGTTTACGCAATCAAAGTGCTGTAAGTATATAATGTACTGCAGTTATTTTTTTCTACAGATCTTATCACTATCTCATAGTACAAACGTTAAACATGTTTAGATACAATTAAGAACTAGGAGATGTTCAAAGTAGTTCATGATTCTCAATGTACGACTGTAAAAATTACCATTTATCTATGTGCAATTATGAATGTATATGAAAACATTTGACGTCTTTTCCTCTTTCTATATTTCATATGAAGCCCATGAAGAGTTTTTCACTTGTGCTAGAAGAGTTTTTAACATCTTATATGCTCATTGTCTATATAGTTAGTAAAACTATATAGTAGAATTCCCAGCATTCATGTAATCTTAGAACTCTCTATGACAAGTTCATGAAATAACATATAAGTTCATTTATACTTCTTGTAATATCAGCTGTTTTTTAAATGCTTTGAGCAATTAAAACATTAGAGAGTCATATATAGTTGCGCATGAGATGCGTCAAAACTCTATGCATGTGATGGATATGACGGATCGTAGAACTAAAAATACTTTTTTGTTTGTTTTATAAATATTTTAAAGGCGTCGTTCAGTTTGGACTATTCAAGTGGAAAAAGATGTTTGAATGTTAAAACCTAAAATATACAGTGTATGAACGAAGAGTGTTTGATTGTTGTCTTCAACTTATTTTTTATTACTTTTTGCTTTTCCATCTAAAATTCAACGACGAACAAACCCATGTATACATGTTTGACTTTGAAAAACGGAATTATTTTTGTCATGTATAGACTCTGTCTTACGGTCACCTTTCATAGTTCTATAAGCACAATTGTATTTTCTAGTTTTCATAGAATTTTTTCTTTTTCCTTTCAAATCTGCATATCATTTTTATTGTATGATTCAATTATGACAGATAAATTAATGTGAAAGTCCATAACATGCGTGGTTATTTTATTGGTTAATATTGCCTGATATGACGACATTGTGATTTTCAAATAAACTTTTTATGAAAGTTTTGTTGACGTCATGCTTGATATTTGAAGCTACGATTATAATTTTCGTTAAAACACCACATATTAAAATATGTATTGCAAGCCTTTTTCGTCAACGTATATTTCTAAAACTGATTTATATGTTTGCTCTTGTTTAGGCTACATGAATACATGGCCACAATTTGTGGCGGTTTAAATTATATATTATGCATGTATATTTGATGTGTTTTAATCCAATCACACAACCTGCTGACAAACGTACACCCCACTCCCCCCTCACCCCCATTCTTTTTATTGTTACTTACCCATGTCTCGACGCTGTGTCCTGTCCTGTTTCAGAGTCAAGTAAACGTCGACCGAAACAGAAACGAAAGCCCGGTCGCAATCCCAGAGTTCCATTCACTCCCAAGCAGCTGACGACCCTGGAAAACAAGTTTGAAACAATGAAGTACTTGACAAGTGATGAAGTTCGTAGTTTGTGTTTGGAACTGACGTTACCGGAAAACAAAATCAAAATATGGTTTCAAAATCGACGAGCAAGAGAAAAAAGAAAAAGTTCACAAAGCAGCGATGAATATGTTGACGTAATGACAATTGACGGGGAGAACAGTTAGCTATGTATGACGACACATGCACTGAAAATTAGTTATAGTTTTTATAGAGGTTTATAGTTAGAAAATCAGTTTTGCAATCATAGAGTTTGCATTGTAGTAATCTTGCACAGCGTACGTTCAACAGGACCTTTATTTATTGCTGTCAATATTCAATAATGAGCATAGGAATTTCATCGATGACGTCATTCGAGCATTTCCGCTTACAAAGAGAAAACACTTTGAATGCAAAGTTTCATAATGGAACACATCGTAAAAAACCTCAGGTTGTAACATAGGATAAAAAATAAAACATACTTATACATTCATCATGATCTCAATGTCCATTTTTGTAATAAATATAAAAAATTAAAATTGCATTTAAAGTTGAGTGACTTAAAATAAGGTTTACACTGCAGGTCGATTTAAAGACTGCAACAACAAAATCAAGGTTTATGATTGGTTCAAAGTATAGTGAAGTAAAAGATGCCATAGAAATGACGAATCTCAATAATTAGAGTTCATCACTGCTTTCTAATTGACCCAATCGGAAAATCAGTTTATACAAGGTAAGTACTAATTTAAAAATGAACACACAAAAGAGAGATTAAAAAAATGAATGCAACAGAAAAACATAGCTACCACAGCGTAATAATGCAATACCTGGATTAAAATATTTTATGTGGTTTTACTCTATGCCATTCACTGACATTTACGTACATAAATTTTATCGAAAAGCAAAGTTCTCTAGACATGGATGGTTGTATTGAAAAATACTAAATTTATAGTAGAAAAACATAAGAAACACACGATACAGAGAGTGAAGAGGTTCAACTACCTTCCCACCCTCTCTCGCAAGAGAAGTACCGGTAACACCACCACCACCTTTCTTGCAAGAGAAGTACAAGCATCACAACCACCTCTCCACAAGAGAAGTACTGGTACCACCACCACCACCTTTTTTGCGAGAGAAGTACATGCATCACAACCACCTCTCCCGCAAGAGAAGTACCAGTACCACCACCACCACCTTTCTTGCGAGAGTACATGCATCACAACCACTCCCGCAAGAGAAGTACCGGTACCACCACCATCACCTTTCTTGCGAGAAGTACATGCATCACAACCACCTCTCCCGCAAGAGAAGTACCGGTACCAGCACCACCACCTTTCTTGCGAGAGAAGTACATGCATCACAACCACCTCTCCCACAAGAGAAGTACTGGTACCTCCACCACCACCTTTCATGCGAGAGAAGTACATGCATCACAACTTCCCTCTCCCGCAAGAGAATTACACGCACCACCAACATCCCCTTTCCTGCAAGGAAAATACCAATAGCACCACCACCCTCCTCTCACGTAAGAGAAGTATTGGTACCACCAATACAACCCCCTTTCCAGCAAGAGAAATACAAGCACCACCACCAACTCTTCTCCCGCAAGAGAAGTACAAGCACCACCACCAATCCTTCTCCCGCAAGAGAAGTACTGTCACCTCTCCACCTTCTCATGCGAAAGAAGTACCAGTAACAGTAGCAATGACGTGAAGAGTTGAGCTCCAGTTATCTAATTCTGTAATGACTTAATACAAATTTATGACAATCCTCCATACCCCTGTATCATTAGAAACTGTGGTTTAAACTTTAAGAACGAAGCTTTGAGCTTTTAAACGTCTTCACAAGGTTTGAACAATAAAAGAAATAAAAATGTCTTATCTTTTTACAAGTCACATATTTACACAATTCTCAACAATCCTAATGTATAGTTCTATAGAAAAAAATATTTTGGTAAAAAATATATTATCAATGTACAACAAAACGATATATTATCAATATCCAATAACAAAAACAATTTTACAAAACGACACAATCATAAATTCGACATCATAAACAGTTTTAGAAAAGTTGTCAAAGAACACCTGTCATTTCTGCATATCACTTAATAACAAAAAAATTTGCGCGAAATAATAAACTCACTTCGTAATGATAATTAAAAATCTTTCATTTCTGACATAGCTTTTAGTGCAGTTAATATTAAAATCGGAACTGCTGAATAATTAAATTTTACTGATGCATTTACTCCAGTTTTCACCTGTTTTTACTTAAAACAAACTAGCTAACAACTTTATCATTATGAGCTATATATTCTAAATCCACTAAACTTTGGTTTCATTTAAAATATAAAATATGAAATAAAAATTTCTGTGCAGTAGTTATAAGGTTTATGGGTCTTCGAATACAACAATTCGCTATTGCGCAAAAGGAATATTTTTCATTATCATTTATCTATGTGCAATTATGAATGTATATGAAAACATTTGACGTCTTTTACTCTTTCTGTATTTCATATGAAGCCCATGAAGAGTTTTTCACTTCGCCAAGAAACATTAATAACAACGATGGTAGTCTCCACAGTTGGTGTCCTAACAAATGGTCTTCTTTTTGTTCTTATTGTGAAGGATCCTTTAAACAAGCTAAGACGAGGACCGTGGATTACTATCTTAAGCTTATCTATAGCTGATTTCACTGCATCTTTGTCTCAATTCATGATTGTTGGATTGGGTAGATTGTTCGAGGTCAAACCATCAGAAGCTGTCAATTATTCTGTCCTTTTCTTTTGGATGTTTGGGGTTGCAGGCTCATTTTTTCACTTGACATCACTCACATGGCAAACCACTCACATGGCAAACTTGCATGATTGCAAAGTATCCCAAATACAAACAACAAATGTTATCTTCGAAGAAAATTTACATATTATGCGCCACAGTTTGGTTGATTGCCATTTGCATGGCATATGGTGAACTCGTATCAATTTTTGCCGAGAAATTTGATCACGTTATGTACACTTATATCACAGGATTTGCTGTCTTGGTAATCACTGTTTTACTTCATATCATATTGAGGTGTTTCATACTTAAGGTTGTATTGCAAAGTCGACAAGACAGTAAAGTAAATGCTACACAGTACAACACTAAACACTTTAAAATTGTAAAGACAATCATTGTGCTGAATGTCTTATTACTGGTAACTGCCTTTCCTTATTTTGTCGCCCAAACAGTGAGGTTTATTCAAATTCTTGGAAAAATACAAGGTGAATTGGCTTGGCGTTTTTCTTACTACTACAGACCAGTTGCCATGGTGAATTTTGCTGTCAATCCAATTGTGTATGCACTGAGGCTTCCAGATTATCGAAACAGTATAAAGGCGTTGTTTAAAAAGACTAGAACTGTTTCCATTTAAAAATCAGGGCATTCAATCTTTTCACTTCGTACTAGTGCTAGTAAACCTGTATGATAGATAATATGTTCTAAACTCAATTTGATTAAAAATGTACGAATAGTGTTAATAGTTTTTATTGGAAGAATAAATTCCAAAGTGACAAACAACTGTGTGGTCAAAAAAAATTATAACGATTATTACTACAATACTTATCACTTTTTTGATTCTACGTAACTTCAAAAGCGAGAGCAATAATTGTGAATACTTTAATGAGACCATTTGCGATTAAGAAACATTTGCGATGTAACTACATTCATCGTTCATAACTTTATGATTAATATATAAATTTTTTATTTGGGTATAGTATAGGTAATATTAGCATAGTTTTGAAGGAAAGGTGAAAGAAAAAGAAACTATCATGATTTGTAGCGAGATTTAAACTGACTAAAATTTAAAGCCAACTTTTTGACCTTTCTTTTCATGAGAAAGATCAGGAATGCAATACTTTTTTAACGATACATATCATTAATCAAATAAACCTTGAACTTAGAGACGTTACAGATTTGCTTAATGCTTCGATAAAAAATTTGAAAGAAAAAATGAGTCTTGCTTGTTTGTAAAGTTTTCTATAGCTTGTTGAAAAAATGACAACAAACTTCTTTCATATATCGGCTGCTACTTGGTGGTTATATTGGAAAACAAATACTTCGGTATAAACAGAGCTTCGTTCCATCGCTCAAAGAGTAAGTTGATCTGTTCAAAATAAAGAAAATGTGTACGCAGCTAACGTACAGTCGCAAGTGCACGGACAGCTTAAATACAGAATCCTTTCATCACAGGCATATGAGCCAAAAGAAACAATAACGATGAACCATCAAAATGAAATTTGCATAGTTTTTATTCTACTTGCGTTATGATGAAAAGTTTGCTTACACAAAAAATTCTTGTGACGACCCAAAGCACAAACTTACATTGTGTGCTGAAACAAGAAATTTTGCTATAGCATTTATTAGTACGTTATTCTTAACATTGAACGAATTTATGTTTTGAAATATGACAAATTAATATACCTACAACAAAGACTTTGCTAAGAATTCTCAATAACATGAGACCACCCTGGCCCCTGGTAAAGACATAACTTTTTAATAACAACAAGACATTCTGTGCACGAATAAAATTTATTTTGGTGAGTGAATCAGTTCACTGCAATATTGAAGAAAGTAGAATTCAATACATAACGTTGAGGGACATTCGTTTCACTTTCTTCATCAATATACAGCCAATTTCCATTTTCTTCTTTGTCAGTACTTCCTGTATACAAAGGAAGTTTGTATACATCACCATGATGCCTAGCCCAAGTTTTGAAGTAGTCGGACGCAGCCGTTAAGCCACTTCGGAGGTCAACATCAACCCAGAAGAATATTTGTTTTGTCTGTTTCAAAACACCAGATACATACACACGATCTTAATTTACCATACCATATAAGACATTTTATTTTGCTATCAGTTGAGTATTTGTGAGGAAATGAGTTAAGAACGCATCACACGACGAACGCGAAAGTCGTTTTTTATAACATCAAAAACTGATTGTAAGAAGGCCAGCAGACGACAAAGAAGTTAGTCTTGGAGGTATATAATAATTATTATTTGTAATGGCAGGATAACTGCGTTTTACCAAACCCTGTCTTCGTTTGAGCTGATAGTACAATTAATAAAACATTTCGACATGTGGTTTATCGAACCCTTTAAACCAAATTTTAGTCATCGATTCATGTACTTACCAGACTTTGTACACTTCAAATTAGATTTTGTATAAGTGAATTATATTACTTTTTTAGACAGGTGGAACCCGGCGTACAATTCCTTAACTAAAATCAATTTCTGAGGTCACGCTATGGTACCTGTACAATATGTTTATAGATACGTTGTTTTTATATTTGTTGAATATATATCCAGTGCCAGTGGTCAAAGCTAGCGACAATTCTATCAAAATGTGTAATTCGACTAAAACAGATCAAATAAATTGCACAAGGAATTCCTCCGTTTGGCAAAATAATGGAAAAGTAAGTATTATATAAAAAGTATTATAAGTCATGCGAATAAACTTTGTTGACTGCAAATAGAAATGCATTCAAAGAAATACATACAAGCTTGCGAGAAAAACGTACACGCGTTTGCTCTTTTGTATTACTCAACAACGTCACATGCAGTGATTTTATCATGAAATTTGACATTTTGAGAATAAGCAAAACTATTATGTGCAGTTCATTTAATTAGCATTTTGTGGCTTCATGGTAAGCTGTAAAGATAAACATTGCTATCCAAAGTTATTTGGCAAAATCAAATAATCGTATGATAAAACATGCATAAAACGATTTCACCAATATCTCCGAATACAAACGAAAATGACTTGATATTGTAAATATTCTATGCATATTTACAATATCAAGTCATTTTCACTTGCCTGCTTTCTTCAAGAGTTCAAGAGTACCAGGCAAAAGACAACATCTGCATATCTCTCCATGCATGTCAGAAACTTCATCTTTTTTATATGTACCGAGATATGATATTTTCATCAATATCTTCTCTATGTAATGAACTAGGCAACTACATGATATTCAACATTGTTTGTTCCTCGTGAAATTGGAATTTTCATAGAAACAGCAAAGCTTGTGTTGGTTGCCTTGATAAGAACAAAACATAAAAATTACAACATTCCTCAAATTATTTTTACTTTATGTAGTGGCGTAAAAGAAATCCCGTATATTTGGTCTTGCTATGCGAATATATAACAGTTCACACACAGTGGAAACTGAAAAATCAAATCCTACAAAAATAAACAATGGCAATGTTCTCAAACTCATATATAAGACTGAAACTTAAAAGCTTATGCAAAAGTCGATGATATTAAAACGACATCATTTTAAGTTTGGTCATCATTTGCAACATAAACATAAGCATAAGAAGAATTGACAGTTGATAATCTTTTGCAGGTATGCTCATGTTTATACTTTTGCCGAAAGTGAGAAGCAGGATTTGAGCGTTATAATTTAGTTCCTCGTCTAAAAAGAACAAATTTTTGTTTTTAAAAATATTGCAACATCTAATAAACATATATTTATGTATTTAATAAGAAACCGAAGAAAAGTTTCTCACTTCCTCAAGAAATATTAATAACAACAATGGTGATCTCCACAGTTGGTGTCCTAACAATTGGTCTTCTTATTGTTGTTATTGTGAAGGTTCCTTTAAACAAACTAAGACGAGGACCGTGGATTACTATCTTAAGCTTATCTATAGCTGATTTCACTGCATCTTTGTCTCAATTCATGATTGTTTGATTGGGTAGATTGTTCGAGGTCAAACCATCAGAAGCTGTCATTTATTCTGTCCTTTTCTTTTGGATGTTTGGGGCTGCGGGCTCATTTTTTCACTTGACATCACTCACATGGCAAACTTACATGATTGCAAAGTATCCCAAATACAGACAACAAATGTTATCTACGAAGAAAAGTTACATATTATGCGCCACAGTTTGGTTGATTGCCATTTGCATGGCATTTGCTGAAGTCACATCACTTTACATAAAAAAATTTGACCAGATTATGTATATCTATATCACGGTATATGCTCTCTTGGAAATTACTGTTTTACTTCAGATCATATTGAAGTGTTTCATACTTCAGGTTGTATTGCAAAGTCGACAAGACACTAAAGTAAATGCTGAACAGCACAACACTAAACACCTTGAAATTGTGAAGACAATCATTGTGCTGAATGTCTTATTACTGGTAACTGCCTTTCCTTTTTTTGTCGCCAAACAAGTGGAGTTTATTCAAAGGCTAGGGAAACTACAAAGTGAATTGGCTTGGCGCTTTTCGTATTACTATAAGCCAGTGGCCATGGTGAACTTTGCTGTCAATCCAATTGTGTATGCACTGAGGCTTCCAGATTATCGAAACAGTATGAAGGCGTTGTTTAGAAAGAAGAATACTGTTTTTACTCCAACATCCCAGTCAGCAAGCTTTTCCTTCCAGTCCACCAATGAAACATTTGCGATGTAACTACATTCATCATTCATAACTTTATGATCAATATATAAATTTTTTATTTGGGTATAAAATAGGTAATATTAGCATAGTTTTAAAGAGAAGATGAAAGAAAAAAACTATCATGATTTGTAGCGAGATTTAAACTGACTAAAATTTAAAGCCAACTTTTTGACTTTTCTTTTCATGAGAAAGATCAGGAGTGTAATACTTTTTTAACGATACATATCATTAATCAAATAAACCTTGAACTTAGAGACGTTATAGATTCGCCCAGTGCTTCGATAAAAAATTTGAAAGAAATAATGAGTCTTGCTTGTTTTATAAGTCTTCTATAGCTTGTTAAAAAAATGACAACAAACTTCTTTCATATATCGGCTGCTACTTGGAGAATGTATTGGAAAACAAAACTTTGGTATAAACAGAACTTCGTTCCATCGCTCAAAGAGTAAGTTGATCTGTTCAAGATAAAGAAAATGTGTATGCAGCTAACGTACAGTCGCAAGTGCACGGACAGCTTAAATACAGAATCCTTTCATCACAGGCATATGAGTCAAAAGAAAAAATGACGATGTACCATCAAAATGAAATTTGCATAGTTTTTATTCTACTTGCGTTATGATGAAAAGTTTGCTTACATAAAAATTCTTGTGATGACCCAAAGCACAAACTTTCATTGTGTGCTGAAACAGGAAATTTTGCTATAGTATTTATTAGTACGTTATTCTTAAAATTGAAAGAGTTTATGTTTTGAAATATGACAAATTAATATACCTACAACAAAGACTTTGCTAAGAATTCTCAATAACATGAGACCAACCTGGGCCCTGGTAAAGCCATAACTTTTTAATACAACAAGACGTTCTGTACACGGATGAAATTTATTTTGGTGAGTGAATCAGTTCACTGAAATATTGAAAAAACTAGACGACTTACCACATTATGAAATATAACTGCCAGGGTGAGACATCATTAGTCATTTATCAAGAATTTAATGATACGTCAAAACGCAAGGATGAATTTAGGACAGGGTTGAAGAGAAATATGCACATCCCCCAGTCTTAGATACACAAGATGGAAGTCAATTTCCCTGTAAAATACTAATATATCAAACAATTAATGGACACACTTAACAATCGAGCCACTCCCTCCCTCCCCCCCCCCCTCCGACATACACTGACACACAGACACACAAAAAACAATCATCTCTGATCATTTCGGTGAAGACGGAAGACATTTCCTTTAATCACAATAAGAAATATGTTTGTATAACAGGAGGATGCCACTGCACTAAGAAGATTAGTACAATCAACACGTGCACAAATCCAACCACTTTAGCGGGAAAAGATCGATAACTATTTTCACTTCACAAGAAGAAATCGTTGATTTTAATCTGAGCCAAAAATGTTGACAGACAAAGAAGAAAAGAGAGCTTCAATCTGAAACTTTGATCCCATCGTTAACTAATGACTTTCAAAGTGAAAGATATAAAATTTTTGAAAGACGTAGCTGTTCAAAACAATAGCGACAGACTCACAGGTACTTCAGACAAAATCCACATCAGAACACACACACACGGTTATAGATTTATACATAATAAAGTCTCCCTTTAGAGAGCTTTTTGCTCTGTATATCATGTTATTCACCATTATTATTTGAGCAAAACCAAAATACATTTTCAGAAAATACAAGCAGCATCAGAGCCACGTCCTCAAAACCAGTGGTTTGCCAATGTTTAAGTGGTTTGCCCGTGTTTAAGTGGTTTTCATGTTTTGCATTTTCGCTATTCATCTATGTCAATGGGGTTCAAGAAAACTTACTCAAACAATCAAGAAACTTTGTAAGGAATTGAACTCAGTGTATCAATAATAGCTATTATATCACTCTAACGACACGTTTTTGCTTATCACAAATTCTAACCCAGATTACAATACGCTTAAGTACGAGTGCATAAATAGAAAAACAAACAAAGGTGTTTTTGGCACGCGCTTTAATAAACTAAATGTTCCATGATCAAATAAATACACGTCACAGACTGCCAAAAATTAACGTACTTGACGTCAAATTCATGCTAACTGAACAAGAAGTATATAGATGTTTTCAAGTTGAGTGCATGATCATTTTTAAATATATACTATAGTATAATTTTAGAATTTTGATATACATTTGTATATATAGTATAAGAGAGACAGTAGTTTATCAGTCTGTTTGACTGTTGTCTGTTACCCTCTTGAAATAAAGTTTTTGTACATACTTAAACATATACACAAGGTTAAGTTATAATATCCGTTGAACTCAAAACACTTGGAGCAATATTTTTACCGCCATATTTGAATTTTAAATTCAAGAATAAAATATCTTTTTCTCTTTGTGCAAATGTGACTGGATTTCTTGCGGGGAATTTCGTTTTTAACGGAACAAAAAATTTTCGAAAAGATTATTGACATTAAGAAGCGACATAAATAATGTTTTATCAACACGAGGCTCGAGAGTTAAGACTTAAGAGCATCGGCAAAATTCATCGCATAATTACAAAAACAAAATACACTAACAAATTTGTACCTACTCCTTAAAAAAAAACCCAGCAATTCTTTATAATCTTCTTGTGAATGCTGTCATGGAAAAGATCATTTCACACCGTACTCTCCACAAATTGGTCTTAAAATTCATAAATAAAACAAACAATCTCATCTCAACCATTCTCAATTCTCAACTATGAACTTTGATAATACACTGGACACCAGTTCGTGGGCACAGATGCAATCAAAGTATCTAAGCACCTGCGTAAAGGCAAGTTAATAACAACTTACCACACAATAATCTGATTAGACATCATACGATCAGACTTTGTGCCTGCAAAGCCAGTGAAAGGTACTTCTCATAAAACCTCCAAATCAAAATACGCTTTGTGTGATAAATTAAATATTACATAATATGTCATATTTGAATTGAATTACACCTTAATAATGGAATTTACGGCTGTCTGCGGAATATTGATTTGTCAACACATTTCAGCTTTTGTGTCCGCTCTACGTCAATTGTTACTGGATTTGAGCGACCCAATTCAATCGTTACCTACTTTTATCAAAAATATTAAATTACAAATAGTTCTATATGGTTTTATTAATATTTACTTCACAAAAACTTTACAAGCAGATTAGAATTTTCATCATGTATAATATAAACGTTAGATGGTTGTCAATGAAATACAAAGAATACCATACATAAGGCAAAAGTTTTCAGTATTCGATTAAACAATGAACAAGGTAAGATGTTCTCATTGAATATTTGACAATTACTCGCTAAAGACAAGGATGGGGCTGTCTTTGCGGTTATTAAAATTTGTGATTACCATATGCATTTAATCACGAATTTCAACACTCTTTAATATGCATCACGTATATTTAACCACTCGTTTTGTGTTACACAACTTAAGTTACCTGAGATATTTCCATTATCAAAACAGTGTATGATAATTTAGTTTACTAATGTGTTTGTGTTTCTTGTTTATTTATGCTTTCCTTCAAATACTAAGTATTACTAACACGACACTTGTCGAATATTGAATTAAAAACAAGTTCCGAATATTTCAAAATCTATACACAAAGATTTAGGGAATAGAGTGGAAGAAAATCCACGAGTGAAAGCAAAATTACATGGGAACTTCTAAAATAACGAGGCTTCTGTATTTAAAAAGTGCTCCTACAAGGATGTTGATTGTATTATAAACAGACAAATGACAAAACGTCTGCCGTTTTTCGCAAAAACGATAATCATATTAACGATCTTCTATAAACATGCCGTAAATATGATACAAGATTTCAGGAAACCCACGCCAATTAAATCTGTAAACAATATGTATGTGCAGGACGATGAAATAACGACTTCAACACACACAACGCTTACTTGATTTTAGGGGGAACATACTCTGTCAATATCAAATTCAAAGTGAAAGAAAAGCAGCGCACCATATTATCTAGGGTCTCACTATGATAATCAAAAGGCATTTTCAAAACGTCTATCCTTCCTTTGTCTATGGATTCCTTATTCTTACAAGTTTGATGAAAGTGCATCCAATGGCCAATGCTGGTGATTTGGGGAAAATGTGCAACTCGACTCAAACAAACCAGACAAATTGCACAAGGAATGAGACTGGTTCTCGTAATCAAAGTGATGTAAGTTTATAAACAAAAACTCTATTGTATGTAATTACAAAAATCATTTTATTTGGTCTGATGAATTAATTTAAAGTCAATGAAATGTTTTGTTGACTGGAAAGAAATGCATTCAAAGAAATGAGGAAGGTGCAAAAAAATCTCATATTAAAAAAAGTCAGAAAGCCACAATAGTCTAACTGAAGCCATTGGGTAAAAGTCATCTTATTAAACAATCTAATAATTCTTGCATTTATTATTTCCTTTATGCGATTTTTATGGCATTATCAGAAGTTGGTTTACGCCATGCTTGAAACTGAATACATTTAAAAGGAAAGATTTTTCTATCATAAAACACGCGGAACTTTAGCGCTTTTATTTTAGATACAAACTTCTTCACAGTATAATGTGCATTGATTTTAGAATTATTTGCGACATTTCCAATATTTATAAGACCACCATCAACTACAATAATTGTACCTCTCCATAATTTCTGTAAGTTATTTATTATCATATGCTCCATCTCGAAATCAAATAATCTAAAGTGTTCACAATATTTTAATACATCTCACGCAAAAAAAGACTTAGAATAAAAATCATATGAATAAAAGAAATGAAATAGACTGACAAGAGATAAAGCATTGAATTAATGCATTTCTAAAATTCTTGCAATTTTCTTCTCAACCATTGAGAAATATGACAGTTCACAATACATTTAAAATTTTTATATGTTTCATTGAAGAACAAACCCAAGAACGGTACCTCGTTTGGTTATGAAACATTAATAACAATAATGGTGGTCTCCGCAGTTGGTGTCCTTACAAATGGTCTTCTTATTGTTGTTATTGTGAAGGATCCTTTAAACAAACTAAGACGAGGACCGTGGATTACCATCTTAAGCTTATCTATAGCAGATATCACTGCATCTTTGTCCCAATTCATGATTGTTGGATTGGGTAGATTGTTCGAGGTCAAAACATCAGAAGCTGTCATTTATTCTGCCCTTTTCTTTTGGATGTTTGGGGCTGCGGGCTCATTTTTTCACTTGACATCACTCACATGGCAAACTTACATGATTGCAAAGTATCCAATACGTAGCCGACAGATGTTGTCTACCAGAAAAATATACATATTATGCGTGACTATTTGGTTGATTGCCATTGGCATGGCATTTGGTGAACTTATATCAATTTTCGAAGAGAAATTTGACCACGTTATGTACACTTATATCACGCTATATGCTGTTTTGGAGATTGCTGTTTTACTTCAGATCATTTTGAAGTGTTTCATACTTAAGGTTGTATTGCAAAGTCGACAAGACACTAAAGTAAATGCTGAACAGCACAACACTAAACACTTTGAAATTGTAAAGACAATCATTGTGCTGAATGTCTTATTACTGGTAACTGCATTTCCTTATTTTGTCGCCAAACAAGTGGAGTTTATTCAAAGGCTTGGAAAAATACAAAGTGAATTGGCTGGACGTTTTTCTTACTACTACGAACCAGTAGCCATGGTGAATTTCGCTGTCAATCCAATTCTGTATGCACTGAGGCTTCCAGATTATCGAAACAGTATGAAGACGTTGTTTAGAAAGAAGAATACTGTTTTTACTCCAACATCCAAGTCAACGATCTTTTCCTTCCGGTCCACCAATGAAACATCTGCGATGTAACTACATTCATCGTTCATAACTTTATGATTAATATATAAATTTTTTATTTGGGTATAGTATAGGTAATATTAGCATAGTTTTAAAGGAAAGATGAAAGAAAAAGAAACTATCATGATTTGTAGCGAGATTTAAACTGACTGAGATTTAAGGCCAACTGTTTGACTTTTCTTTTCATGAGAAAGATCAGCAGTGTAATACTTTTTTAACGGTACATATCATTAATCAAATAAACCTTGAACTTAGAGACGTTACAGATTTACTTAATGCTTCGATAAAAAATTTGAAAGAAAGAATGAGTCTTGCTTGTTTGTTTAGTTTTCTATAGCTTGTTGAAAAAATGACAACAAAATTACTTCATAAATCGGCTGCTACTTGGAGGTTATATAGGAAAAATAATACTTCGGTATAAACATAGCTTCGTTCCATCGCTCAAAGTGTAAGTTGATCTGTTCAAGATAAAGAAAATGTGTACGCAGCTAACGTATAGTCGCAAGTGCACGGACAGCTTAAATACAGAATCCTTTTATCACAGGCATATGAGCCAAAAGAAACAATAACGATGAACCATCAAAATGAAATTTGCATAGTTTTTATTCTACTTGCGTTATGATGAAAAGTTTGCTTACACAAAAAATTCTTGTGATGACCAAAAGCACAAACTTTCATTGTGTGCTGAAACAGAAAATTTTGCTATAGCATTTATTAGTACGTTATTCTTAACATTGAACGAATTTATGTTTTGAAATATGACAAATCAAGATACCTACAACAAAGACTTTGCTAAGAATTCTCAATAACATGAGACCACCCTGGACCCTGGTAAAGCCATAACATTTTAATAACAACAAGACATTCTGTACACGAATAAAATTATTTTGGTGAGTGAATCAGTTCACCGCAATACTGAAGAATGTAGAATTCAATACTTAACGTGGAGGGACATTCGTTTCACTTTCTACATCAATATACACCCAATTTCCATTTTCTTCTTTGTCAGTACTTCCTGTATACAAAGGAAGTTTGTGTACATCATCATGATGCCCAGCCCAAGTTTTAAAGTAGTCGGACGTAGCCGTTAAGCCACTTCGGAGGTCAACATCAACCAAGAAAAATATTTGTTTTGTCTGTTTCAAAACACCAGATACATACACGCGGTCTTAATTTACCATATAAGACATTTTATTTTGCTATCAGTTGAGTATTTGTGAGAAGAAGAGTTAAAAACGCATCACACGACGAACGCGAAAGTCGTTTTTTTAGAACATCCAAAACTGATTGTAAGAAGGCCAGCAGACGACAAAGAAGTTAGTCTTGTAGGTATATAACAATTATTATTTGTAATAACAGGATAACTGTGTTTTACCAAACCCTGTCGTTCGTTTGAGCTGATAGTACGATTAATAAAACATTTCGACATGTGGTTTATCGAATCCTTTTAAACCAAATTTTAGTCATCGATTCATGTAATTACCAGACTTTGTACACTTCAAATTAGATTTTGTATAAGTAAATTATATTACTTTTTTAGACAGGTGGAACCCGGCGTACAATTCCTTAAATAAAATCAATTTCTGAGGTCACGCTATGGTACCTGTACAATATGTTTATAGTTACGTTATTTTGATATGTTTGTTGAATATATATCCAGTGCCAGTGGTCAAAGCTAGCGACAATTCTATCAAAATGTGCAATTCGACTAAAATAGATCAAGTAAATTGCACAAGGAATTCCTCCGTTTCGCAAAATAATACAAAAGTAAGTAGTATTATATAAAAAGTATTATAAGTCATGAAAATATACTCGAGTGCTTGGTGACTGCAAAGAGAAATGCATTCAAAAAAATACATATACAAGCATGCGAGAGAAACGCAAACGCGTTTGCTCTTTTGTATTACTCAACAACGTTACATGCAGTGATTTTATCATGAAATTGGACATTTTGAGAATAAGGAAAACTATTATGTGCAGTTCATTTAATTAGCATTTTGTGGCTTCGTGGTAAGCTGTAAAGATAAATATTGCTATCCATATTTATTTGGCAAAATCAGATAATTGTATGATAAAACATGCATAAAACGATTTCACCAATATCTCCGAATACGAACGAAAAGGACTTGATATTGTAAATATTCTATTCATATTTACAATATCAAGTCATTTTCCCTTGCCTGCTTTCTTCAAGAGTTCAAGAGTACCAGGCAAAAGACAATATCTGCATATCTCTCATGCATATCAAGAACTCATTTTTTTATATGTACCGAGATATGATATTTTCATCAATATCTTCTCTGTTTAATGAACTATAGCAACTACATGATATTCAACATTGTTTGTTCCTCGTGAAATTTGAATTTTCATAGAAACAGCAAAGTTTGTGTTGGTTGCCTTGATAACAACAAAACATAAAAATTACAACATTCCTCAAATTATGTCTACTTTATGTAGTGGCGTAAAAGTAAGCCCGTATATTTGGTCGTGCTATGCGAATATATCACTGTTCACACAAAGTGGAAACTCAAAAAATCTGTTCCTACAAAAATAATTATTGGCAATGTTCTCAAACTCATATATAAGACTAAAACTTAAAAGCTTATGCAAAAGTCGATATTTGTAAAACGACATCATTTTAAGTTTGGTCATCATTTGCAACATAAACATAAGCATAAGAAGAATTGACAGTTGATAATCTTTTGCAGTTATGCTCATGTTTATACTTTTGCCGAAAGTGAGAACCAGGATTTGAGCGTTATAATTTAGTTCCTCGTCTAAAAGAACAAATTTTTGTTTTAAAATATTGCAACATATAATAAACATATATTTATGTATTTAATAAGAAACCGAAGAAAAGTTTCTCACTTCCTCAAGAAATATTAATAACAACAATGGTGATCTCCACAGTTGGTGTCCTAACAAATGGTCTTCTTATTGTTGTTATTGTGAAGGATCCTTTAAACGAACTAAGACGAGGACCGTGGATTACCATCTTAAGCTTATCTATAGCTGATATCACTGCATCTTTGTCTCAATTCATGACTGTTGGATTGGGTGAATTGTTCGAGGTCAAACCATCAGAAGCTGTCATTTATTCTGTCCTTTTCTTTTGGATGTTTGGGGCTGCGGGCTCATTTTTTCACTTGACATCACTCACATGGCAAACTTACATGATTGCAAAGTATCCCAAATACAGACAACAAATGTTATCTACGAAGAAAATTTACATATTATGCGCCACAGTTTGGTTGATTGCCATTTGCATGGCATTTGCTGAAGTCACATCACTTTACATAAAAAAAATTGACCAGCTTATGTATATCTATATCACGGTATATGCTGTCTTGGAAATCGCTGTTTTACTTCAGATCATATTGAAGTGTTTCATACTTAAGGTTGTATTGCAAAGTCGACAAGACACTAAAGTAAATGCTAAACAGTACAACACTAAACACTTTGAAATTGTAAAGACAATCATTGTGCTGAATGTCTTATTACTGGTAACTGCATTTCCTTATTTTGTCGCCAAACAAGTGGAGTTTATTCAAAGGCTTGGAAAAATACAAGGTGAATTGGCTTGGCGTTTTTCTTACTACTACGAACCAGTTGCCATGGTGAATTTTGCTGTCAATCCAATTGTGTATGCACTGAGGCTTCCAGATTATCGAAACAGTATGAAGGCGTTGTTTAAAAAGACTAGAATTGTTTCCATTCAAAAACCAGGGCATTCCATCTTTTCACTTCGTACTAGTGCTAGTAAACCTGTATGATAGATAATATGTTCTAAACTCAATTTGATTAAAAATGTACGAATAGTGCTAATAGTTTTTATTGGAAGAATAAATTCCAAAGTGACAAACAACTGTGTGGTCAAAAAAAATTATAACGATTATTACTACAATAGTTATCACTTTTTTGATTCTACGTAACTTCAAAAGCGAGAGCAATAATTGTGAATACTTTAATGAGACCATAAATTAAGTAAAGCACGTACATAAGGTACCTGGAAATATAGCAGCTTTGCTGAGATGAAAACCTTGAAATAAAGAAGAAAGATTTGTTATTTTCATCTTGGTATATTTGAAATGCCAGCGAACAGTACGTATAGGAATTTGGGGGAGGGAGTACGGCCAATATAAGCCTCTTGAGAGCTGAAATTAAATGTTTCTTTGCACTATAATAACAATGCTACACAAACTTCCCCCTTCTTCTGGAGAATATTGCAACAAAAAAGGTGGGGCCAATATTATATTAATATTGCAACAAAAAAGGTGGGGCCGATTATCGTTTCCACCCATTTACAGGAAATGAATTTTTAAAATCACTCACGTATGTGGGATGTACACGTGAATCCACCACATGCATGTGGACGTCACGAGGCCAATTTAAAAGAAAGCGGATTCAAAAATATCGAGATACGTGTTGACGGGTCATAAACATTATACCGACTGTATGAATACAAGTGATCAAATTGCATTAAACCATTCAGTCAATGCCAATCATCCCAGAGACAAGAAATTAGAACAGTTGATTAAACTGTCTGAGATCTCACTATGGTACTCTCACGATATTTCCAAAACGTCTATCCTTCCTTTATTTACGGATTCCTTATTCTTACAAGTTTGATCTCAGTATATCCAGTGACCAATACTGGTGATTTCTTGGAAACGCGCAATTCGACTCATTGTCTTATTGATGGTAACTGCATTTCCTTATTTTGTCGCCAAACAACTGGAGTTTTTTCAAAGGCTTAGAAAAATACAAGGTTAATTGGCTAGGCGTTTTTCTCACTACTACAAACCAGTTGCCATGGTGAATTTCGCTGTCAATCCAATTGTATATGCACTGAGGCTTCCAGATTATCGAAACAGTATAAAGGCGTTGTTTAAAAAGACTATAATTGTTTCCATTCAAAAACCAGGGCATTTAATCTTTTAACTTCGTACTAGTGCTAGTAAACCTGTATGATAGATAATATGTTCTAAACTCAATTTGATCAAAAATGTACGAATAGTGCTAATAGTTTTTATTGGAAGAATAAATTCCAAAACAACTGTGTGGTCAAAAAAATTATCCCGATTATTACTACAATACTTATCACTTTTTTTGATTCTACGTAACTTCAAAAGGGAGAGCAATAATTGTGAATACTTTAATGAGACCATTTGCGATTAAGAAACATTTGAGATGTAACTACATTCATCGTTCATAACTTTATGATTAATTTATAAATTTTTTATTTGGGTATAGGAAACAGGAAAACTGGAAACAGGAAATTTTGCTACAGTATAGGTAATATTAGCATAGTTTTAAAGGGAAGATGAAAGAAAAAGGAACTATCATGATTTGTAGCGAGATTTAAACTGACTAAAATTTAAAGCCAACTTTTTGACTTTTCTTTTCATGAGAAAGATCAGCAGTGTAATACTTTTTTAACGGTACATATCATTAATCAAATAAACCTTGAACTTAGAGACGTTACAGATTTGCTTAATGCTTCGATAAAAAATTTGAAAGAAAAAATGAGTCTTGCTTGTTTGTTAAGTTTTCTATAGCTTGTTAAAAAATTACAACAAACTTACTTCATAAATCGGCTGCTACTTGGTGGTTATATTGGAAAACAAATACTTCGGTATAAACAGAACTTCGTTCCATCGATCAAAGAGTAAGTTGATCTGTTCAAAATAAAGAAAATGTGTACGCAGCTAACGTACAGTCGCAAGTGCAAGGACAGCTTAAATATAGAATCCTTTCATCATAGGCATATGAGTCAAAAGAAACAGTAACGATGTACCATCAAAATGAAATTTGCATAGTTTCTATTCTACTTGCGTTATGATGAAAAGTTTGCTTACACAAAAAATTCTTGTGATGACACAAAGCACAAACTTTCATTGTGTGCTGAAACAGGAAATTTAGCTATAGCATTTATTAGTACGTTATTCTTAACATTGAACGAATTTATGTTTTGAAATATGACAAATCAAGATACCTACAACAAAGACTTTGCTAAGAATTCTCAATAACATGAGACCACGCTGGGCCCTGGTAAAGCCATAACTTTTAAATAACAACAAGTCATTCTGTACACGAATAAAATTTATTTTGGTGAGTGAATCAGTTCACTGCAATATTGAAAAAACTAGACGACTGACCACATTTTGAAATAGAAGTGCCAGGGTGAGACATCATTAGTCATTTATCAAGGATATAATGATATGTCAAAACGAAGGATGGATTTAGGACAGGGTTGAAGAGAAGTATGCACCACCATCCCTAGTCTTAGATACACAAGATGGAAGTCAATTTCCCTGCAAAATACTAATATATCAAACAATTAATGGACACACTTAACAGCCGGGCCTACCCCCCCCTCCCACATACACTGACACACAGACACACACAAACCATCATCTCTGATCATTTCGGTAAAGACGGAAGACATTTCCTTTAATCACAATAAGAAATATGTTTGTATAACGGGAGGATGCCACTGCATTAAGAAGATTACTACAATCATCACGTGCATAAATTCATCCACTTTAGCGGGAAAAGATCGAGAACTATTTTCACTTAACCAGAAGAAATCATTGATTTTAATCTGAGCCAAAAACATTGACAGACAATGAAGAAAAGAGAGCTTCAATCTGAAACTTTGATCCCATCGTTAACTAATGACAATCAAAGTGAAAGATATGAAATTTTTGAAAGACGTAGCTGTTCAAAACAGGCCGACTGACAGGTGCTTCACACCAAATGCACATCAGAACACCCACACACACCCACGGTTATAGATTTATACATAATAAAGTCTTCTTTTAGAGAGCTTTTTGCTCTGTATGTCGTGTTATACACCATTATCATTTGAGAAAAACAAAAATACATTTTCAGAAAATACAAGCAGCATCAGAGCAACGTCCTCAAAACCAGTGGTTTGCCAATGTTTAAGTGGTTTGCCCGTGTTTAAGTGGTTTTGATGTTTTGCCTTTTCACTATTCGTCTATGTCAATGGGGTTCAAGAAACTAACTCAAACAATCAAGAAACTTTGTAAGGAATTGAACTCGGTGTATCAATAATAGCTATTGTATCACTCTAACGACACGTTTTTGCTTATCACAAATTCTAGCCCAGATTACAATACGCTTAAGTACGAGTGCATATATAGAAAAACAAAGGTGTTTTTGGCACGCGTTTTAATAAACAAAATGCTCCATGATCAAATAAATACACGTCACACAGACTGCCAAAAATGAACGTACTTGACGTCAAATTCATGCTGACTAAACAAGAAGTATATAGATGTTTTAAAGTTGAGTGCATGATCCTTTTTTAAATATATACTATAGTATAATTTTATAATTTTGATATACATTTGTATATATAGTATAAAAGAGCCAGTAGTTTATCAGTCTATTTGACTGTTGTCTGTTACCCTCTTGAAATAAAATTTTTATACATACTTAAACATATACACAAGGTTAAGTTATAATATCCGTTGAACTCAAAACACATGGAGCAATATTTTTACCGCCATATTTGAATTTTAAATTCAAGAATAAAATATCTTTTTCCCTTGTGCAAATGTGACTGGATTTCTCGCTGGGAATTTCGTTTTTAACGGAACAGAAAATTTTCGAAAAGATTTTTGACATTAAGAAGCAACATAAATAATGTTTTATGAACACGAGGCTCGAGAGTTAAGACCTAAGAGCATTGGCAAAATTCATCACATAATTACAAAAATAAAATACGCTAACAAAATCGTACCTACTCCTTAAAAAAAAAACCCAGCTAATCTTTATAATCTTCTTGTGAATGCTGTCATGGAAAAGATCATTTCACACCGTACTCTCCACAAATTAGTCTTAAAATTCATAAATAAAACAAACAATCTCATCTCAACCATTCTCATTTCTCAACTATGAAGTTTGATAATACACTGGACACCAGTTCGTGGGCACAGATGCAATCAAAGTATCTAAGCACCTGCGTAAAGGCAAGTTAATAACAACTTACCACACAATAATCTGATCAGATATCATACGATCAGACTTTGTGCCTGCAAAGCCAGTGAAAGGTACTTCTCATAAAACCTCCAAATCGAAATACGCTTTGTGTGATAAATTAAATATTACATGATATTTCATCTTGCTATAATCGATATTTGACTGTCTCCATGACAAATATGCACAATGTTTAAATTATCTCCCCTGCAAAATCTCTAATCATCTTGTTTGAGTGAAAGTAGTGATGGAAAATGGGAAAAAAGACTTATCTAATATACACACGAAGAACAAAATCATTAAACTTATTTTTGAAGAGTCATTCAGAAGAGTCATTCATGAAGACTTATTCAGTAAAAGCTGCCATTGATCAAAATGACGGCATATGATGGAAGCGAATTGCTAAGCCTAAAAGGACTATGGTGAAGAATTGTGAAAACCCTCAATATTTAGCTCGGGATGAATGGATTAGAGGGTAGTTAGCGATCGTGTGATTTGGTCTTTTAAGGATTCAAACTTTATATTAGGAGTAAGTTATCGTATATGACGGTGGTGTGTATGCAAAATCATTGAAAACCATTCATGAATAGCCTTTGAATCAGAGGTACGAGAGTCAGAAACACTGATTGTAATTACTTAACATTACTCACTATGTCTAACGATGCTAGATTAATTAAAATCATTTTGATGATTTGAATATTAAAGAAATAGCAATATTCGTCTTGTCAAAATAAAATTTTGCTATAGCATTTATTAGTACGTTATTCTTAACATTGAAGGAATTTATGTTTTGAAAAATGACAAATCAAGATACCTACAACAAAGACTTTGCTAAGAATTCTCACTAACATGAGACCAACCTGGGCCCTGGTAAAGCCATAACTTTTTAATACAACAAGACATTCTGTACACGGATGAAATTTATTTTGGTGAGTGAATCAGTTCACTGCAATATTGATGAAAGTAGAATTCAATACATCGCGTGCAGGGATACTTCGTCTCACTTTCTACACAAACATACAGCCAATTATCCATTTTCTCCTTTGTCAGTACTTCCTGTATACGTGAGAAGTTTGTGTACATAATCATGATGCCCAGCCCAAGTTTTGAATTAGTCTGACGTAGCTGTTAAGCCACTCCGGACGTCAACGTCAACCCAGAAGAATATTTGTTTTGTCTGTTTCAAAACACCAGATACATACACACGATCTTAATTTACCATACCATATAAGACATTTTATTTTGCTATCAGTTGAGTATTAGTGAGAAGAAGAGTTAAGAACGCATCACACGACGAAGGCGAAAGTCGTTTTTTTTATAAGATCCAAAACTTATTGTAAGAAGGCCAGCAGACGACAAAGAAGTTAGTCTTGGAGGTATATAATAATTATTATTTGTAATAACAGGATTACGGCGTTTTACCAAACCCTGTCGTTCGTTTGAGCTGATAGTACGATTAATAAAACATTTCGACATGTGGTTTATCGAATCCTTTTAAACCAAATTTTAGTCATCGATTCATGTAATTACCAGACTTTGTACACTTCAAATTAGATTTTGTATAAGTAAATTATATTATTTTTTAGACAGGTGGAACCCGGCGTACATTTCCTTACATAAAATCAATTTCTGAGGTCACGCTATGGTACCTGTACAATATGTTTATAGTTACGTTGTTTTGATATGTTTGTTGAATATATATCCAGTGCCAGTGGTCAAAGCTAGCGACAATTCTATCAAAATGTGCAATTCGACTAAAATAGATAAAGTAAATTGCACAAGGAATTCCTCCGTTTCGCAAAATAATACAAAAGTAAGTAATATTATATAAAAAGTATTATAAGTCATGATAATAAACTCGAGTGCTTTGTTGACTGCAAAGAGAAATGCATTCAAAGAAATACATATACAAGGACGCGAGAGAAACGTAAACGCGTTTGCTTTTTTGTATTACTCAACAACGTTACATGCAGTGATTTTATCATGAAATTTGACATTTTGAGAATAAGCAAAACTATTATGTGCAGTGCATTTAATTAGCATTTTGTGGCTTAATGGTAAGCTGTAAAGATAAACATTGCTATCCAAAGTTATTTGGCAAAATCAAATAACTGTATGATAAAACATGCATAAAACGATTTCACCAATATCTGCGAATACGAACGAAAAATATCAAAACGATACGAGAAATTGTTTAGAATTACCATTATTCTATGCATATTTACAATATCAAGTCATTTTCACTTGCCTGCTTTCTTCAAGAGTTCAAGAGTACCAGGCAAAAGGCAACATCTGCATATCTCTCCATGCATATCAAGAACTTCATTTTTTTTTATATGTACCGAGATATGATATTTTCATCAATATCTTCTCTGTGTAATGATCTAGGCAATTACATGATATTCAACATGGTTTCTTCCTCGTGAAATTGGAATTTTCATAGCAAAGCTTGTGTTGGTTGCCTTGATAAGAACAAAACATAAAAATTACAACATTCCTCAAATTATGTTTACTTTATGTAGTGGCGTAAAAGAAAGCCTGTATATTTGATCTTGCTATGCGAATATATCACAGTTCACACACAGTGGAAACTGAAAAATCAGTTCCTACAAAAATAAATAATGGCAATGTTCTCAAACTCATATATAAGACTAAAACTTAAAAGCTTATGCAAAAGTCGATGATAGTAAAACGACATCAATTTAAGTTTGGTCATCATTTGCAACATAAACATAAGCATAAGAAGAACTGACAGTTGATAATCTTTTGCAGTTATGCTTATATTTATACTTTTGCCAAAAGTGAGAACCAGGATTTGAGCGTTATAATTTAGTTCCTCGTCTAAAAAGAACAAATTTTTGTTTTTAAAAATATTGCAACATATAATAAACATATATTTATGTATTTAATAAGAAACCGAAGAAAAGTTTCTCACTTCCTCAAGAAATATTAATAACAACAATGGTGGTCTCCACAGTTGGTGTCCTAACAAATGGTCTTCTTATTGTTGTTATTGTGAAGGATCCTTTAAACAAACTAAGACGAGGACCGTGGATTACTATCTTAAGCTTATCTATAGCTGATTTCACTGCATCTTTGTCTCAATTCATGATTGTTGGATTGGGTAGATTGTTCGAGGTCAAACCATCAAAAGCTGTCATTTATTCTGTCCTTTTCTTTTGGATGTTTGGGGCTGCGGGCTCATTTTTTCACTTGACATCACTCACATGGCAAACTTACAAGATTGCAAAGTATCCCAAATACAGACAACAAATGTTATCTACGAAGAAAATTTACATATTATGCGCCACAGTTTGGTTGATTGCCATTTGCATGGCATTTGCTGAAGACACATCACTTTACATAAAAAAATTTGACCAGCTTATGTATATCTATATCACGGTATATGCTGTCTTGGAAATCGCTGTTTTACTTCAGATCATATTGAAGTGTTTCATACTTAAGGTTGTATTGCAAAGTCGACAAGGCACTAAAGTAAATGCTAAACAGTACAACACTAAACACTTTGAAATTGTAAAGGCAATCATTGTGCTGAATGTCTTATTACTGGTAACTGCATTTCCTTATTTTATCGCCAAACAAGTGGAGTTTATTCAAAGGCTTGGAAAAATACAAAGTGAATTGGCTTGGCGTTTTTCTTACTACTACGAACCAGTTGCCATGGTGAATTTCGCTGTCAATCCAATTGTGTATGCACTGAGGCTTCCAGTTTATCGAAACAGTCTGAAGGCGTTGTTTAAAAAGAACATTTTTATTTCTACTGATACAGCACAGCAATCGAAAACTTCGTTCTGTTCTGCTGATGAAACGATTGCTTTGTAGATAATATGCATTGATTAATATGCATTGATCATATATAACTTGATTACAAATATATATAATGATTATTTTTTTAATATAGGTAATAACATAAACTTTAGTGTAATTTGTAGTTATACTTTTGTGTAATTTTTTGTATAATGTTTGTATTTGTAGGCAATTTTGCCTGCAACAAACTATTTTGATAGCCACATCAAAACATAGTACAATATCGTATCTAATAATACGTTGTCCTCCTTGCTGCTTATTTACATCTTTACGAAGAAATTCTCTACATTGAATTTAGCGTGAGCAGAAGCTTTGTTTAACAGGTAAACTTGGCAGCTTTGTTGCATCGAAAATTTCACAAGAAAAAGCAAGTTGCCCTTACAGACATAACTTCTTTTAAAATGGCAGAACGTTTTTCATTGATAAAACAGCATGGTCAGCAATCAGCATGTATTTGAAAATTCAGGCAGAATTGTTTTTAATAATACTTTATAGTTTGCAAGAAAAGGTATGTTTAACAATCTATCGATATGTAGCATTTTATCTGCACTAGCAAAAACAGGAAGGCAGAAATGAGCATAGTCTTAAAATTCACACATACACATTATATTTTCATACAATTATATTTGTATAATTTTAGTGTTTGATAGAATAAGCTGATAATAAACGAACAATGAACAATACACTTTAATGAATACATTTATTTATTGTCCATAAAGATTTTTGAACGTCTTCTTGGACACATTGTTGCCATAGAATAATGACATCTTTTTTTCATATGGTGACGCAGCTGACGCTTTTCCTTTTTGTTTTCCAGTTCAATTGGATTCTCCAAAGATTCGCCATTCAACCACAACCATTTTGGTTTTGCACAGCAGGAAGAAAAAAAACACAATATGAAGAAAAGAACAAGGCCATATTTCAACCCTTTCATACTTTACACAACAGCCCAAGAGAAGCTTGACGTCCAATTCTTCAAGTTTCAAAGTAGATTTACTGCCTGTACATCATTCCTATGGCACAGCTATATTTATACCATCAAGCATCAAGTGTTTTTAAACACAGACATCAAGCTTCTTAACAGCTTGAGTTTACTAAATGGATTCGGGCTGTTCTTAGTTTGGATAATACCTTTCAAAGTCTTTAAGCAACAAGAGAACACTTGACAGAAAAAAAATGATGAGAACCGAAAGCCTATTACTATATGTTGCTTTATTGGTTATATGGGTATTCAGTGTTCTATGTTTTGCCAATAATTTCGCTATTGTTTGGTTCATTTTAGACACAGCTTGAGCATAATTATATTTTGTATCGGTGTTCAACTGCATTGAAGCATCAAGTGCTTTTATAAACTGTAGTGACAACGTGTGTTAAGTACGTAGCGTTGCCAAATGGAATAGAATCTTCTAACTTTGCAAAACAGCATTCACAAAAAATGAACATTCGAAACTACTTGTTTTTATACATACAAAATTTTTTGTCTGAGTAATCTTCACATGCTCCTTTAAATAAAATCGTTACAGTTGTACGTGTGTTAAATAAATTTTCATATTTTTATTAAATCATTAATGACTTTGAGCTGACCTACACAATTTTAGCCTTACTTGTGATAAACAAAGTACATAAAGTAGTTCCTGTTATACAGATGCTACAGTTCCATTAAATAGAGTGCTCATACAGTATAATCACCGCTTTTTTAATCAATAGCAGTTTTTTTATTTTTTTTTGTTGGAAAATATCTTCAATCATAAATCCCCACGTAAAGGCGCTGAAAATGAAGTAAATAGGGGTTATATAATCTATACATATATACATGCTCATTATATGTTGGACTATTGCATTTTCTAAATTAAGCTTTAACTTCATAACGTAAGAATAATGTATTACATGATATTACTGTCATCCTATATGCTCATTGTCTATATAGTTAGTAAAACTATATAGTAGAATTCCCAGCATTCATGTAATCTTAGAACTCTCTATGACAAGTTCATGATATAACATATAAGTTCATTTTGACTTCTTGTAATATCAGCTGTTTTTTAAATGCTCTGAGCAATTAAAACATTAGAGAGTCATATATAGTTGCGCATGAGATGCGTCAAAACTCTATGCATGTGATGGATATGACGGATCGTAGAACTAAAAATACTTTTTCCTTTGTTTTATAAGTATTTTAAAGGCGTCGTTCAGTTTGGA